CCTTCCTCAGGAGGACGTGGGATCCTGCTGAGGCTCCACTCTATGAAACTGTGGCTTACAGAGGTGGGGACTGGCCCAGCGTCACACAGCAAGGGCACAGCCAGGGGGAGACCCCTGACCCCCCAGCCTGGTCACTGCCATCTTCCCCTTATTATCCGGGGCCACAGGGCTCTGAACCTTCCACCTCACATTGGCAGTGTCAGAAGTCCCTGTTCCCAGGGCACAGCAGGAATGACATGGTCCATCCAGAGCAAGAGACAGCAGGAGGCGAAAGAAAAGTTTACATCTGGTTAATGGGTGTATTTGCTATTGAATAGGACACACACACACACACACACACACACACACACACACACATGAGCTTGCATGCACAAAAACATTTAAAATTCTTTGAAGCATAAAGAATATACAGTGAGAACTGTCTCCCACCCCTGCTGTCTGTCTACTGTTCTCTCCTCCCCCAGGTAACTCTGAACTTCATTTCTTGGGCTTTCTCTCCATGGTTTTTCAATGCCCACACAAGCAAAATTAGGTATATGTGCTTTTCTCTCCATGTGTTGAACATACAGGGCAACATCCCTCTCTGCTCTTATTCTTTTAACCATCTACCCTGGAGGTCTTTACTCATCAGTGCACAAACAGCGGTCCCACTCTTTTCCACAATCGCATAGTATTCTACTGTGTAACTATATGATAACTTTTAACAGTTTTATTGAGATAACAATTCACATACTGTAATATTCACCCATTTAAAATAAAGATTGAAAAGTGTTTAGTATAATGAAAATTGTGCAACTAGTATCACAATTTTAGAAGTTTCATAGCTCTCAAAAGAAATACTGTTCCCCGTTGTTATTACCCCCTAAACCCTATACCCCAAGCAGCCACGGATGTGTTTTCTGCTGCGTAGATTTGACAGTTCTGGACATTTCATATATAAATGGCATCACATAACATGTGGTCCTTCCTGATCAGCTTCTTTCCCCATGTGGCCAAGGTATGTTCACTTTGTAGCGTGCGTTAGTACCTGCCCCTTTTTAATTGCTGAATAATAGCGTTGGAAATGCCACATTTTATTTATCTGTTTATAGTTGATAGACATTTGGATTACCTTTAAGATGATTAAATTTTCATTTAATCAAATAACATCTTAGAAAATCAACAATCTCACAGCTATGTCAGGGCACGGTCCTCGAGTGAGGATTCGGGGACAGGGGGCTGACACCATGGCTGCATTGCAACTGCACCTTCTGAGGTCACCTCCCCCTTTCCTGGGAACTTCCGCCCTGGACTCCTGTTCTAGCACTTTCCAGTCAAGTCTACCCCAAATCCAACATGGCCTGTGACTATGGGGTCTAGGAAGAGGACAGTGACCTCTCAGTCTGGCCCATGAACCCACTGCCCTCTGTCCCCTCAGCGTGTCCCCTGGGCCTGCTTCCTCCCACTGGGTGACTGTCCAAGAGAAAGCTGGTGACTGGGCCCTGGAGTTTCCTGCCTGTGATGAGGCCACAGGCCACACCTACAGCCAGTGCAGACGGCGAGGTTCAGGGGACACCCTGGCTCTGAGCGGCAAGCCAGTCTCAAGGACAGCTCCCTGTCACCGCAGGCCTCCATGGGCCCTGAAAGTTCCGGGGACTTCCTAGGACCTCTGTGGTAGTTTTTGAAAATTATCCTGACTTAGACCTCTTTGATGAGTCAAAGCCAGGAAGAGCTTTTCCTTCTGGGCCAACAGAAGACAGACGGACAGGAACCTCGGTTAATTGAAAAGAGAGAAAATCTACGCCCTTGCTCATTTCCTGCAGTACTGCCCTGCCTCCTGGGCCCCCATGCTACTCCCTGCCCAGGAACCCACACTGCCCACCCGGGGGACTTTGATGGTTAGCAGGGAGGACTGCCTTTCTGCTGGCTTCCCACGGCGGCCATTTGAACTCACCTCCGGGAGAGTCAAGGGCAGGACCGCGTGAGAAGGTGAGTGTCCCGTTACAATGCAAGGCTGGCAGCTCCAGAACTGCTTCCTAATTCCTTAAATTACAAATGCAAAATAATACAGCTCTTCTACAGGATGTGTTCATCCCCTGAGATGCCTCCTGGCTTTTTACAAGAAAAAGGTCACGTTCATTATATTGCAATCATTAATATAATGAGTTTCTTTTGTGTAGAAAATGGACACATGCCGACAACTAGCTATACCTAAAAATACTGATATCTCTGAGTCTGGCATTAGAAAAATGAATGAGCAACAAACAGATACCAATTATGAGGCACTTATGGAGCATCTTCGGTCTCCCAGGAGGTCGAGATTTAGCCTATGACATTTCCGAATATGTCTGTGTTCGTGGAGGGCAAGAATTGGGGTCTGAGCCAGGGAGCCAAGGATCATGTGTGATTTCTGTGGTTCTCATTGTTCTCCTTTGTTTACTGGCTCCCCAAGTAGAGAACCCAGTTTTGAATTAAACAGCAATTGAGATCTTAATCTTCCCATCTGACAAGGGCACATGATGTCTTTACCCAGGGGCACTTTACCAAGGAGACCAGAAAAGCACCCACTTGTACTTTTTCGTTTTTAGATTTATTTATTTTTTTAAATAAATGGACATGGTACAGACTGTACAGAAGAGCAGACAGTGAAAAGTACATCTTCTTCCTCCAGTTAGTTCTCTTCCCCGGAGGCAACCACAGGTACCGGCTTCTGGAGTTTTCTCCATGAGATACTCTGTACTGCTGTGGTTTAGGTAAGGGACCCCCAGAGTCCTGGTCGCCAGCCTGTGGTACTATTGGGGAGTGTGGAATATTTAGGAAGTGCAGGCTTGCAGAAGGACTTTGGGTCATTGGGGGTGAACCCTAAAGGAGATTTTGGGGTCCCGCCTTTCTTGTCTTTCTTTGCTGTGAGCAGCCTCCTCTTCCACACGTCCCCACCATGACATGGTGGCTTGCCACAGGCCCCAAAACAGTGGAGCCAAGAGACCATGGACTGGAAACCTCTGAAGCTGTGAGCTAAAACTAATCTTTCTCCTTCATCAACTTTGCTTATCTCAGGTATCTGTTACAGCAACAGAAAGCAAACACACAGCACATAAACTGCGGGCAAATAAAAATATGCATCCCCTCCCTTCTTGATTGCTTACTATATGGGCTTTAGCCTATTATTTTTTTTTTTACTTATCAATATTTAATACCTAAAATCTTCCTTTTTATGAATGTATAGGGTTCCATTGCATGGAGTTTCCAAAATGCATTTAACCATTCCTCAGTGGATACTAATCTGGCTGTTCCCAATCATTCATTAGTCATCACAAACCAGGCTGCAGTGATTTATGTTAAGCATCTAGTCATTGCTCTCTCTCCATGGGGGAATTTTCCAGAGCCCCAACAGACACCAAAATCTGCATATGCTCAAATCCTTTAACGGCATAATATTTGAGTATAATTTAAGTCCTCTCTAAATTAATTATAATACCTAATACAATGTGAATGCTATATAAATCATTGTCATATTGTATTGTTTAGAGAATTTTTTTTAACGTCCATACATGCTCAGTACTGGTGCAGCTTTTTCTTTCTGAATATTTTTGATCTGTGACCCTCTGAATCCCCGGATGCAGAACCCCTGGGTACAGTGGGCTGCCTCCTCTGCTCTATCAGCCATGTTCCAGAGCACCTTTAGGATTAATGGCTAGAGGTGGAATTGCTGGGTCAAAGGTAAATGCATTTGAATATCAGTAGACCTTGGTGGGCCTTGCATACTCCATGATTTTATGCTGAGACCAGCGGTTACACAGGGGCCTCATTGTCCCACAATGTATCCATCCACACGGTGGATTTTGAAATATCACTAGTTACAAACCTGACCGGTAACAAAATAACTTGTAGTTTTAGTAGATGAATGATATGGAGCTTTTCATTGTGTTGAAGGTTCCTTTTCCCCTAGGATCTCTTTGTCCGCCCTTTTGCACATTTTTCTAGAGGGTTGCAGACTTTTTCTTACAAACCGAGAACCAATAAGAAAATTAGTGCTATGAATTCCATCGTTCCTCTGATTTGTCATTTGTCTTTTAGTTTATGTTTTGCAATAATTTAAAAAAATTTAAATGTAGTTGAATTTAACTTTTTCTTTCTCTTCTGCATTTTCCGGTTATATTTAGATAGGATATCCCAATCTGAGATGATAAGGGGAAAAAAAATCTGTTGTGGTTTTTTGTTTTCTTATTTCCTAAGACTTTACATTGTTTCATTTTTTATGTGAAATTCTTTGATTTATCTGGACTGTCCTGGTACCCATGATGAGAGATGTGAGTCCAAAGCTTATTGCACCAATGCTACTTATTGAAGAGCCCATTTTTCCCCCTCCTGATCAGAAACTCTCCTTGATTATCTACCTCAGACCAGTTCCTCGCCTGTGGGGGGTGCCTTCACTCTGCTCCATTGGTCTTTTGCTTATATATCAACAACACCTTGTTTTAGCTATGGTAGTCTCACTGGGAGATTTTGCAGGGAGAATTGGATCCCTCCCCTTTGCACCGTGCAAAGCGCGCTGCTGGGCCATGATCTTATACACATAAGTCATACTTTCTGGCTGGCTAGTTTTAAGTTTCTGGTTAGGTTAACTCACTCATCACTTTTTTCTCCCAGATTTTTCCTAGTTAGTTTTGACAATTACTTTTTCCATACAAATAGTTTACCTATTCACAAAGAAATCCTACTGATATTTTTATTGCACTTCTTGAGGGCACCAGTAGAAATGATCTCATGTCTCCTATTCGAAAACTTGGTGTTGAGAACTCTTGATTTTTAAAACTTTATGGACGCACATGTTTCTGGGCTCCCGTCCATGTCGTAGAGAACACCCCTTTCAGCAGCTGCAGGGCACAGTAGCACTCTCACTGGTGTGGCTTGGCCAGGTGGGCCTCAGCCCAGGATGCTGCATCTCATCCGGACCTCTTTGTTTCTCAGTGATCACGAGGACACCCCAGACCCAGGCCAGCTCTCTCCTGAGTGACCCCATGGAGGAGAGGAATGGCACCAACTCCACCAGGTTCCTGCGGCTGCCGGAGGGGACAAGTGCTGCCTGGTACATCCTCACCATCATCGGCATCTATGGGGTGATCATCTTCTTCCGGTTAGCCAGCAACATCCTCAAGAAGAATGATAGGTCCTTTGAAGATATTTATTATTCAAATTTGACATATGAACTCAAAAAGAAAACATTCGAGAGCAAGGTGGCCAAATGCTCCTCGCTGACCCTTAGCAACACAGATGTCCTGCAGCCCGGCCAGGCCAGCCTAGGGTCAAAGTGTGCAAAGAGTGGACCTCAAATTGGAACCCAGGGAATCCACTGAGAGAGAAGGCAGAAGACTGAAGGGATCAGCTTTGGATTTACCTGGAACTTTAACAGAGAGGTCACACCCTTGTTCTTGAGACCAAGAAAGGCATCACTGAGCTGAGCCTGCTGGATGATGGCTCTGTGACTGGAAGCCAACAGCCTGTGTCCATCTCGGGCTTTCTGATGATTGGAGAACAGGCAGTGGCAGAAGAAGGCCATTTGCCCCTTTGCTAGCAAATTCTGTTCTCCAAGGAAGGGCGTGGGCTTCAGTGTTCCCAGAGGGATCCAGGAGACTCCAGGGCACATGCAAATCAATAGTTTCTTGTCACTAGAAAAAGACTGAATTTGGAACAAATGTGCAGGATTAACCTTCTGTGGAGTCACATAAACTTTGAGTGATTAGTTACACACCTGGAATATATGGGAGTTGAGATAGATGGTCCCAAAGGGCCAATTCATTTTAAATACACTGACTCCATTAAATTTAGGACCAAAGCTGTTCACATCAGAGGTTAGGAATTCTTCAGTCTCACGGAGAGTGCGTTACATTGAAGAAAGCATTAACTTTAGAATCAGACAGATCACTTTGGTGTCCAGGCACAAACCACTTCACCTCTCTGGAACTTAATTCACAGATAAATTGAGACTGAGGCCAGAGCTGCCAACCCAATCATGAGATCTAATGAGACCATGAGGTGTATCTAACGAGACCTGGAAAGGTATTTTGAAAGGCAAACTGGGAATAAAAACGTAAGACTCATAGTGGCAGTGGTGACTGTGGTGGAGACAGATGGTCTGATGGTGGTGGTGTTAGTAGTGGCTGGCATTGGTGGTGGTGGTAAAGGCTGGTGTTGATGGTGATGTTCATGGTTGATGTTGGTGTCTGGTTGATGCCGATGGCGGTGGATGCTGTGGGTGATGGAGATGGTGTTGTTGGTGGTGGAGGTTGGGGGTCTGAGAGATAGTGGTGATGGCGATGTAGACTGGGGGTACTAGTGGGGGGGTGCATTGTGGAACAGGAAATGACTAATCCACTGGCAGTCAGTGTCTCTGCATGGCTGTATGAGCTTGTTCTACAGGAAAGCCCGCCTGCCTAGCATCTGGCCACCCTCACAGCAAGGGTGTGAGAGTCCATGAGATTCAGGTTTCACTGGTAGATGGAGCAGAGACCTTGGAGTTTAGTTACTTTATGCATCATGTGATTCACTCGAATGTTTTACAAATATCCCTTACTTACAAAGTTTTCCAAGAAATAAGATCGTGCTTCATTTAGGGAGCTGTAGCTGAATTTCTCTAAGTGACTTTCAGTAGTCAATGAGAACAACTCTATTCTGTCCTAGGAAGATCATCCAGCTTGGCTTTTGGAGATGTCCCAAAGCTGGAGAGAGAGAAAAAAAAATATATATATATTTTTCTGATTTTTCTTCAGATCAAATAAATATTTTATATATAATATATTTTTTATTTGCAGAATGTAGCCCTGCAGTCATCCCTATAATCTCATAAAGGTTAAAATTTAACCTCAAGCTTTTGCATTGAGGGGGTGAGATATACTTTTGTGTATATTTCTTCTCTACTGTTTTTCATCGTCCTCACCACTGTCTTTCCACATGTTGGAAAGTGTTAACTTGTTAGTATGCATGTGTTTGAGACACTACAGAGGAGGACAAAACAGAAGAAAACAGATGGACCAAGACAACATGACCCATAGTGAGGAGGATGCAGAATGCATCAGGACGGGAGTGAAGGGCCGAGTGGCAGTGCACTCAAGGCTAGCCAGAGATGATTGGCAGTCCTCCCTTGCGGGTGCCTCTGGGCCTGCACCTTCGCCTTCCTCAACCAGTTGCCCCTTGTTTGCATTTGTGGATGCACAGGCCTCTAGGAAAGCTGCACCTACCCCCAGTTCAAGTATCACAAGGAGAAACCCAGGTCAGTCCAGTCCCTGCATTCCATCTCTTGGACTCACTGATTGAGTCCAGGGTGGACACACAGACCCAAGTGTGCTGACCCATGAGCATGGTCAGAGGAAGCTAATGGGGATTCTAGGACCCAGAAACCCTCCCTCGCTTTGCATTGGGTTAAATGCAGATCGGAGCCTGAAACAGTTGCTTCCATTTGCCATAAGGAAAGCCAACTTCATGGTAAAAAAAAATAATATAGAGAGGAGACCAGGCTCAGATGGGCCCTGACCAAGTACGCTCAAAGCCTCGGTTCACCCCTGGAATTCTTCACTCTGTGGGCTAGTACATTCCCTTTTAAAGTTTATTAGAGGCAGGTTTTTTGTTCTCCACCACCAAAAAATATCCTAAATGATACCTTTGGATACAGTTTCCTGAATGATGGGGGCCTTGGAGAAGAATTTGAAAGGAGAAGAGAATCATTTCTTTCACCAAGATTTTTGTATTTATAGACAGTTTTGCATTTGTAAGGAACAGATAGCTTTTGATACTTCCTCTTTTAGTTAAACGATCATTTGTACGATTTCTGGTTACTTGACCTCTCAAACAGCACTCAGTGAGATGCTGACCCATTTAACCCTTGGCTCCTGACTCTTGTTAATAAACTTCCTTGGAAGCCCCAGGGAAGTCCTGTCATAGTAGATCTGCAGTCAGAGACTGGCTCCAACATTATTGGGCAAGAGCCACCATCTTCTTGCCGGAATACAGTCACATGACATCCAAGGATGTTTTCCCAGGCCACAACACTGCTGCTCAATCCAAATCCACCCACTTTCTGGGGAGCTGGTCCGAGCCTGCACTGAACATGTGCTCTTGGATGGGAACTTGGTCTGCGTAGGCTCCACTTTAACTTACTAGTAGGAAGCTACTTCATGTACAGTTGTGTCACTCAATGACAGGGACATCTTCTGAGGTATGCAAAATTAGGTGATGTCATCATTGCTTGAGCTTCATAGAGTGTGTTCCCTCCAACCCAGGTGTGCAGGCCAGCCATTCCACGTCACCACTTGACACAGGAGAAAAGTGAGCATAGATGGACAAGGGTCCTGCCAGCATAACACAGTGCTGTTTTTAACAAGTAGGAAGAATGTGCTCGACAATAACAACAAAAGTATCGCTTAATAAATGAACCTGTCACGGACTCATTTACTATCAGTATCAAGTATCACATGCTGTACATAATTGTATTGCTGTATTTTTATACAACGGGGAACACACGAGGTTTGTTTGCACCAGCATCACCACAAACAGGTGGGCGACGTGCTGTGCCATGAGGTTGAAAGGGCTATAATATCACTAGCCGGTAGGAATTTTTCAGCTCCGTTAGAATCTTATGGGACCACTGCTGTGTGTGTGGTCCATGCTGATAGAAACGTTGTTATGCGATGTACAACTGTATTTTGGACATTTTGTGCACAATTCCTTAAGTCTAAAAAATGCTAAGGGTCAGGGCATTTCATCGCTGATGGATGGTGCCCAGAAGGATCAGCAAGGTCTGAGCGCCACAACACGAGTGTTCAGTATAGAGAGTGGGGAAGACCTGCGAGCAACGCCTTCCCAGTGGAGGTGGGAGCAGAGGCCTCTGACTCCCAACATTCCCAGCCCCTAATTTTTCTTTGTCCTCATGTTAATTTTCCCCAAGATTTGGGGAATCAGGACAGATAAATGCCTCCTCTGAAATGGAAATTATTTAAAAATCAATGCAGAATGACTTCCTCTGGGGGTCTGCAGCTGATAGTATCAGGGCTTGTGCCAAACCAAACCGAGTTTACTGGAGTGTCCCCATCTATTCTAAATGCAATCCGAGCCAGATCAATTGTATGATTATTTGATTTTCTGGTGTGATGTAATTATCACATTTTGGAAAAAGATCTTTAAAAGAATTGAGAGAGTTGACATCTGCTAGCGTTGATACAGCCCAGCACACCTAGGGATCTGCAGGGTAGAGAACGCATTGAGCAATCTCTTCTCGGGGACTGTCCAGCCACCACAGCCCCCAGCCCTGATCTTCTACAATCTTATGATCTCATGGAATTAGATGCCAGAGTGAGTGGAAATCATCAGACAGATTCAGTGAGGGGTCCAGACAGATACCAGTGGAATAGCAGCAGCAGGCCAATTTGAGGTACCAGAGACAGAAATGCCTTCCTTAATCCAGGGTAGGCCAGCTCAATTTAGCTGAAACAAAACTCTTGGGAAGAAAGAAAATCATGGTGAGGCTGTAAAATTGACACCAAGATGAGATTTAACCAACTCTTTGTAGAACGGGGACTGGGAGGAGTGGAGGTGTGTGTTTGTAGGAGGTGCCTGAGATCCAGTCCCTTTATACCAGCCCCGCAGAGCAAGACATCCCACAACACTTTAGCCCAGTGAGTTCCGTGACCACCAGCTCAAAGCCAGGGGAAGTGTGCTTTGGAACCCTCAGCTGGGCTGCAGGGCGGGCCATGCACACACAAGACTGCACCTGTCCTGGATCACCTTCCCAAGCCCTGGGGACCCCGTGCCATGGATCCAAGGCTGTCCCTTCTTGCTGCCTGCGTAATAAAGGTGCTTGGCTTCACTTTGCCATGGTTTTATTGATTGATTGCAGTGTGGGGATCCAACATTGGGCTGGCATATGCCAGGCAGTGCCTCTCCCACTGAGCTCCACCCTGCCCTTGCACTGTACTCTTGCATGAGAGTGGATATGGGGGTGTGCCATGGGCGAGATATTAGAACCCTCCTCTGGGCTTATAGTGGTGCATGGTGAGCCTGGGCGACAATCTGCCCTCATTTCTGGTAGTAGCCCAATTAGAGTGACACTTTTTGATGGCACATTACACATAATTGGAAAAATGTTCTTGTCTTGACATCATGGGACTGGCCAGATGCTTCTTATAAGCTTGAAAAGACTCAGGTGCTGTGCTGGGGTCAGGAACACAAAGAAACATAGTCCCCTGGAGAAGACAGTGTCAAGGCACCATGACAGTTCAGGTTGCTAAAAGCAAAGCACTTGCTAGGCAAGTGCTCTGCCACTGAGCTCTGTCTCCAGCCCAAGCCACATCACTTCAGTGACATA